ATCTACTGGTGGATCATCAGTGATGAATCATCACTGATGATGCAATATCCTCATATAAACTGTTTCAATTAGCGCTAATTTATTATTTGCTGAACTATTTTTCAAATAAAAAAGATTACTTAAACTTGAATTTAAATATGAAAAAAAATTCTTCTTAATTAGCAGGGCAGGGCAGGGCCACGGTGCCAAAATGACAGGGCAGGGCAGGGCAGGGCAATAAAATTGGCCCTGTGGACACCTCTGCTAGGCAATAATTCTAGTTTCACATTTCTTTGTTGAAATGTAACAATTTGATTATGCTATGCATTTTTGAACGATACAAACAGATACAGAGAAAATAAAAGAGTAATAAATAATCATGTTCAATATGTTACTATGATTTTTGTTAGATTGATTCTACTGTTACCACATGTTTCATTACGTGTTGTACTATTTCAACAAGAATTTCATTGCTTCAATCAAAATATTTCATGTAAACAATCAGTTAGTTTTGTTTCTTTATTATTCCTCTTGAAGTTTTTCGAGATGGCTCTTTTATTAGTAAATATTTAGGATATATTCGATCTACATCTGTTTGATATTCTTCAAGTCTTATGATTATTGATATCATATTAATATTGGCTTAGATAGAAAATAAATCTTGGGTATTAAATTTAAAATTTTCGGAATTCATTTGCTACTTTCTTAAAAAAATATCAAATATTAAAAACACAGAAGATCTTAATATCAATGAAAAGTAAAATGAACCCTTACATTTATTAGATGTTTCTTAAATAAAACCAAAAATTAAGTATGATTTAATTAATTTAGATGTTTTTTAATAAAAGTAGCAATTATTCTAAGAAAATGTGATTGATCACTTTTGTGCTGAAGGGGCCAAAAAGTGTTCATTGTTTAGAGTTGGGAGATTTTTCTGTATTGATTTTCGAAGTGAAATTTCGATGGAAATTATTGAATTCCTTATTAGAATGTCAGAAAATCTTAACTGCCTTGCAACTGCGACAAGTCAACAACCTAAGCCACTTATTTTAGTTTGGGCTGATCTTAGTGCTATTGTGACTCGTTTTTATGCTCAAATGTATGAATTGTAAGTTGAATTTCCAATATGTATAGCCCCTGTCGATCGTTGATATCCACTCTATTTTGAATTTACAGAAAACTTATACTACCGTTTTTTATTTCTAGTGATGCTAGTCATTTGTTTTTGATTGATCCGTTAGTCGAAAATTTATTCGATAATAAACATTGAAAATATTTTTGGTATATTTTTCTACTGATTTTTTTTCTCGATTTAACACCTTATTTTTAGGTATAATAAAATAATACTTCACTTACATGCTGTAAAAATCTCAGCAGCTGTTGGTACGAATCGAATTCTTGTTTTAACAGATATGATTAACATTCCCCTAATTTAGAAACATTTGATAATTCAAAAGATGATAATATTAATATTAATCATCAACAAGCGATTGAATTTGATTGATAGAATAAAAGCTATTTTCGTATGATTATTACTTCAAACGCATTTACTTTGTAATGCTGCTCATATTAGTTAAGTTATTCGAGAACACTTATATGAATGAAACATTTTTACAACTGAAGCAAGAGATATTAATGAAACAAAAATTATAATATAAAATAGTGTTTTTATAGATTAACTTGGCGAATGAAAGTTTTCCCCACAAATGTATCTGTAACAATTGCTAATCGTCGTCAATATGATAAAAAATCTATCTAAAGGTTTCAATTAACTAATTTTTTACTTAAAATTCTTTATTTTAATTTCAATTTTTTTGTACATTTAAAGCATGAGATTATTCATAAGAATATCTTTGACAGCAACTATTTCGTAATCAAATTCAACATTGACCAATTGGCTCAACTGATAAATATTCTATCTTTAACGAACAAGATCGATTATAATCATTAATGAAAGATTCAATAAATAAAAGGTGAGAACAAAAACGACTTCCATAATATATTTTGAAATTTCATCACTATCCGCTTATTTTTTCTTAGTTCAATGGATGTCGCTAGACCCTCGATCGTTTAATCACCTAGTTATACCCGTTCTATCCTCTCGATTACTTTCATTCTTTGTTATAGAATGAGTGGAAATAGATATCACAATGATATCTTTCGTCTATGCGTGCATTTCGTAAAGAAAAGATTAACAGAAGAAAATAAATATACCGTCTGAAATATCGGTAGACTAATTAGTTTTTCTTCCTTTGCTTGTGTATGGTATAAATACCAGTGGTTTGATCGCATTCTTTTCAGATAAATTAAATATCACGTCGAACACACATCATTACACTAACACATATTACACTGGGATTTCGTTCCCGACGGTATATTCCTATCTATCGATATATGGAATTCATCTATGCCATTATTTTGTTGGTCACTATCATTTTTTCAAGGTTTTTCTGTTTTTAATACTATGTTACTTCTTATTCATCTTAACTTAAAACTGTTATAATGATGACGAGAGACATTATTGCTAATATTCGATTTCATAAGGGCTTTCGTGTTATATTTTTTCTCTCGTCTTTTTCTTTGGTAAAATAAATCGTTAAAGAAGTACTGTCATAATAACGAGCAAATATTGATCATATCGAGCAACAACATCAACCCAGTGAAAGTAGACATTTATACACTCAGCTCACACGAACTGATCAAAGAATGGACATTTCGATTTATATTTCTCTAGGCACCAAATCACATATTTGTAGGAAGAGAAGAGAAGGTTAAGTGTTTGTTATTGTGATCTGCATAGGTAAGTATGATTTACGAGAGACATCATATATATCTTCGTGCGCGCACGTACAAAACCATACGAAAATCGAAGAATTCAGTTCTGTTTTTAAACACATCTGTACCGTATTCAAGTCATAAACAAAGGTAAATAATTTAAGCTATAAAATTATATTGATAGTAACAAAAAAAGGATACATCTAATCTCCTTGTAACAGTTTCAAGATACAAAGGTATATCTTTGTTTCTTATTAGAAAATTAAAATGGATCTTGAATATACAGTAATAGAAACTGTTCATCAAAATAATGCTGGACAAGTAACAAAAATTAACTACGAATTCGACGAAACAGTTGCTACTGAAGCATCAACCTCATCGTCATCATCGAGCATCGCACGACAAAATAAAGAAAAACGAAATCGTACCTACGACGTAACGATAACTCGAGAGCAATATCAAGGAATGGCAAAGCAACTATCAAATGCATTATCGTTCGATGCATTCGTTAGTGTTTTACGTCCTTTTATTATGGGCTATTACAAAGATAATGAGCTGGAACGTGCGTTTTCTACATTGGATCGTGATCGATCGGGTTCAATCAATGTAAAAGAATTGAATTCATTTTTACCCATATTAAATGAAACAGCGAATGGCGAAGCGTTGAATGCTTACGTACGAAAAGTTGACGACAATTTCGATGGAAACTTGAGTTACAATGAATTCCGTTCGCTTGTTTTACGTGGCATTGGTCGAGATATTATCTGTAATCATTTATAAATAAGAAGAAAAGAACATAAACCGTTTATTACAGTTCTTTTTTTTTTCAAAAAAATCTTATCGGACATTTTAACTTTTCTTGTAATTTTTAATAAATTAGTCTGCTTATTTCTATTTAGTATTGATGCGATAGTTAAAAAATAAATAAAACTAATTTATCAACTTGACATTGAAAGTGTTTTTATAAACTAGTATTCTTGCCCAATGTATATTTTGTTATAAAGTAAATCTAGAGAATGAGAAGACCACTCATGTCAAATGATATTTTTATACTATCGGTCAGATCGAGTACTGTGCTTGCAATACAAACTGTCACTCCTGCTATTTAATAAATTGTTTGTGTTTGTTTTAGTTATTCTCTTCCTATGTTGGATGCACATATTTGCTGTCTAATGACACAACTATGAATATATTGAATTAGAAAGCTTTCTATTGGAAATAATTAGATTAAAAATTGATGCATGGATATTTTTCGGTTAACCGTTTAAAAATTTTCTTCGAAAGATCAGAATTTCAAATTGAATTCATTTTTCAGTGTGAACAATTCGTAAAGAAGTGATCTGATCTAATCTGATCTCCTTCAAGCTGTCTTGTTGCTAGATGGTAAACTATGGAATGCTCTGATTGGTGGATAAAAGACTAATAAAATATAATTTACTTCAATGTTTTTCTGCTTGAAACAAATACTTTAAAATTAAATCATTTAAAATTATTTAACATGCTTTTATAGAATATTTTATAAAAAACAAGAAAATTTTAGCTGAGTAACAAATAGATAAAATAAATAGTAAACAATTAGAATATACAAACGGCATTGTTGTCTCATTTATGTGTCCAAGTCTCAGTGATCCTTCTCTCAAAACTTCCAAAGATCAAATGTCCTCGATTTGTATTGAAGGTATGTATCACGAATAAATTGAATAATTTTCATCTCTTTTTATTGCCTATCTCGTCCAAATATTTATATGATTAATCTCAAAAAATAAAAAAAAACACTTATTAAAATTTTCAAATGAGAAAATTATGTTAACCCGTCTGTATCTTCATTCTAGATTCCTCCGTTGTTATTGGGAAATATCTGCTCCTGGCCTTCGCATCCATCTTCTGATCTCCCTCTCCTAATTCCTTGGGGTCCGAGATTTTCACCTTTATGTTAATTTGATTGACTTGGTTTAACGAGGAGACATACGTGTGCCCCTCTAATTATCACCGCCTATCATCAAATATTCTCTCTCCTTCCGAGGAAAAATTAAGGCTAATTATATCTGTTATTTATTATATATATATATCTACCATCTGAATACATTTATTATTGTTTTTTCATTTTTATTTTGCTAAAATTTTTGTTTTATTTTGTGTTGAAAACGAATAGCATTCCGTGAATTTTTTTAATAATATAAATAATTTTCTTAGTCAATCTTGCAGATCCCTTGGGGCATTTGCATTCATCAATATTATACATTTGCTTACCATGGAATCGAATCTCAATTCAAATAATAAACGTTCAGCTAATGATGGAAATGATGATAATCAAGACAACAATAATAATGTTAAACGAACACGATCGAATAAAGTTGATTTAAGATTTTTATTGGCTTCACGTATGAAAATTTTAGGAAAAACAAGTAAAATTCATATTTTCATATCTTTACTCAGGTGATGCCGGTGCAGTCATTGGTCGACAAGGAAAAAATATTCAAATGTTAAGGTCTAAATATAAAACAATCATTCAAGTTCCGGTAAAATTTGATTATTGATTTGATCATTTCAAGATAAATGATGTTTTCTCTGACGGACTAATTCAAATCTATTGATGAACATAGGGTTTAGAATTTCGCTTCTGTTATTCCGAATTAGTTTGATGTTTTACGTTAATTAAATATTTAAAATCAAAGCTAAATCCAAATAACTACGTAGCTGTGGAAATATTCAAGTTGCTCAATGAAGCATTTGCGAATAATCCAATGCATTTCCTGAGTTATCTCAACTCCGGAAATGAACACTTGATTTCTGTACTAAAATTTATCTCGGAACGTTATAATAAATTTTCATGAAACTTTTTTCGTAATAATTTTTAATATCCTGAAAATTGAATACTACACCTTCCTATAATTTTAGAGGCAATTATTGCATTCGATTTGATATTTTTAGGATCAAGATGGACCCGAACGTATTTTAACAATAGCTGGTGAACTTGAACCATGCCTTGATTGTCTTACAGATGCATTAGTAACCATGGCTGAGAACCAAAAGTTACGCCAAGATGCAAGTGAACTACGTGCTCTTGTTCATACATCACAAGCAGGTAAATTTGTTTGTTGTTGCAATAGATTGCAGAAGTTTAGTTTTCGTTTTGATTCAGGTGCTGTTATTGGAAAAGGAGGTGAACGCGTCAAAGAATTAAGGTATAAGAAATAGTAAAATCATCATAATGATTTTTGTTTCTACATATAATTATAAATTTAGAGCTCAACATGGACTTGAAGTGAAAGTATTTACTGAAACGTGGTAAATTCTTTTTTTTATTATCATTTCGATTAATGAATGTTTCTGATTCTTTTTATAATTATTTAAAGTCCAAATTCAACTGATCGTGTTATTCTATGTCGGGGTGAACAACGAGCTATACTAAGTTGTCTTCGTGACATTTTCACACAAATTGAAAAAATTCCACCACGAGGTCCTATTCGTCCGTGTATGATAAAATGCATTTTATGTTGTTCTATAAAAATTAATCTATCAATGTTTAGACGATCCATCATGTTATGTTGAACATCAAATTCAAGGATACGGTAAAAAAAAGAACATTTCTGCTGATCAATAATAAATGTATGAAATTCATTCTTTCAGGTGGCTTTGCACATGATGATAGTAGCGTATATGGTGATCGACGAGTTCGCAATAGCGGTCCTCGGGGATATAATAATTATGACAACTGGGATATGAATAATATGCGCGGCGGAGGCGGAGGTGGTGGTAGTGGTGGTGGTATGTATCATGATGATTTCTGTGGTCCACCAAATCAAAACTTCTATCCACCACCGCCTCCACCCCCACCACCACAATCTATGATGTCTGGCGGTAGTGGTCAAGCTCAAATGCGTCCCTTGATTGATTCATATGGGCAAGCACCTGCCACTCAAACACAACAAGTGAGATATGAAGAAGAAAAAACGCGAATTGTTTTTTAATAATAAAATTTTATTTAGGTTACTATTCCACATGACCTTGCTGGAGCTATAATTGGTCCGCGTGGTACACGTATTTCCCAGATTCGTCAACAATCAGGTGCATCAATCAAAATCGATGATCCGTTGCCAGGAACAAATGATCGAATTATAACTATTGTTGGCACTCCAAATCAAATATCGCAAGCTCAACATTTGCTTCAAACAGCAGTTCGACAATCAGGTCTTTATCCAGGATGATTCTTCGTATGATTAATATTAAGTGAAAAGAAAAAAACCAACTTAGATGAACATGTGTGTATCCTCTTTGCAAATAAAAACAAAGACAGCCAGAGTTTGATTGATTTTTTTTGTTCCGTTTTATTTGTTTGTGTATAGTGATGCACTAATCTCTAGTTCATTTTGTTTTTGTTTGTGCTAAAAGAAGGGAATATGGATTCCCAGTTTTTTTTGGTCTATCGATGATTATCAAAAATAGATTTGTTCTTATATGAAAACAAAAAAAAACGTAACAATTTTTATCGACTATTTTTAGGATGTTGCGTACGTATTGAATATAGTTTTTCTTCAACATTTCATAGTCGAATTTGAACAACTCGGATTTTCTGTTTAAATAGGCTCAAATGATTCAGTCAACAATTATGCACGACAAGAGATCATAGACCATCTCACTCCAATCAGAACTGTTTTACCGAAATTTTATTCTATAACAGCATATGCAGATTTGACTTCCAGGTTGACGCACACGGGTCTGTGTGACATTTGGTAAAATTCTCTTTCTTCAACACATCTGCATAGTAAACAAGTGATGACTAATGTATATTGAATTCATTAAAAAGGAAATTTAAAAAGTTCTCTTTTCTTAAATGAACTACCTCGGAATATTATCGAGTTTACTGTTGTCACAGTTGAGAGACTAGAATTAGAAATATTCCTGTGATATAACACGAGTGCAACTAAAGAACATCGCGCCGTACTGTTAGAATGATGGATGTAAATTTGGCATAGTAATAACGATAATAGAGAATCAAACATTCATAGTTACCCTTCCCAAATATTATTCAACTGTCTAGAAAGCAAAATCTTATTATTTCATCTAGAACGTATATTAAATAATTTATTTGAATGCTACGTTGACAAATTCTATTGTATTTTAGAACATCTCTGAAAATATTCCATCGTTTGAAAATTCAATCGAAATCATAGTATTGAAACTATTATTTGGATTCTGGAAAATTCTAAAGATCAAAATTGAAATAACTTTTTGCGCTAGATACATATAGAAATTATATTATGATTGAATGGTAATTTCAATGGCCATCGTCATATACTGTATTTTGAATCCATAAAACGAAAAATTTATCAAATCACTTACCGCTTCTCTTGTTGAGAAGATGATCTATTGAACAAGACGATTTTTCACAAGAAGACTATTGCTTTTATATTTTTTTAAAGATAAACAGCGAATCATTGAGAAAAAAAAAATGCCGATCTATGTGTTTTATGTACGAATGAAAAGGTTGACCACCGAGGCCAGACAGATAATGTGATTGATTCGTATCAATACAATTTGTCAAAAATATTTTTCTTAGTAAATCGGTAAAATTGTAGGTTTTGATGTAAATTCTTCAATCTTGGTTCGGATCGGATCGAGTGCATATTAATAAAAACAGAAAGGCATCAATGAATTCTACCGCATACAGGTGGCCAATTATCATGAAAATCTCTAGCCTAACTGTTATAAACAGAAACATAACATTATATAAAACATGCGATCAAACGTTCTTTGATCATTCTCTAGAGTATGATAATTTTATTTAAAAAAATGATAGTTCGGATTCTATTCAATTTGGTATCATTTTTCTAGTAAGGATTAGAGTCCGGATCAGTCTTTGATATTGGCAGCTACTTAATCTCACATTGATATCAAAGACCACTTTGTTTCGTGTAGGAAGTAACATATTGCAATACTCTCTCGGCACTGCTTTTGTGAAGTTTCCCTTTGAGTTACACTATCATGTAATAAATACGAGCTATTCGATTCGTGCGAAAAAAAGAAAAAAAAAGTTCTTATTACTTCCTTAACATTTATGTTGAATGATGATAGTAGATTTACTTAATGAACACTACATAGCCTAAGTGGAATCTTTATTGGCCAATGACAAAAATCAAAAGAAAGGCTTACATCTTCCTCGTCCATAATTAACATATTCATTTCTTTTTTTCGTTGGTTTCAAGAAAACCTGATGGTGACTTCGTAAGAATTAATCAAAGAATCATGTTGTATGATGTTTTTCATCGACTTTGAGAAATGAAGGTATCTATCAGCTATGAATTAAGATATGAAAATATTTCACACCTTTAGAACATTCGACCGAACGTTCACTTTATTATTGTCTTTTTATTTACCGTATATGCCCAGGACGAACAATCCGATACCTGGGCCCAATCGGATTTCGATTGGTTCCCAAAGGATTCTAAGTAAATACGGGTTATGATTAACTCATTCACGGATCCCTAGTGTTGGAATTCAATCGATTCTTGCAGGAACCAGTCAAAATCGGGCAGGTTTATTTAGGAATCTCGTTGGCATTCGGCTCTTGGAAGTCCTACCGAATCCGGTTGTTGGATTCCACCAATAATCAAAGCTGGATAATGCGATTTAATCTTCAAAATAACTTAGGTTATATAAAAATTCGAAATTATATGCATATAATCATGATTGAATTTTTGATATAAACTCTCTTCCGTTATCAGTTTATAATATTCTATTTGTCTTATATTTTTAAGAATCATATTACTATAAATTAAGAGACGTAAAAATAGCGCCTGTTTTGATGGTAATGTAAATTCTAGACAAATTTTCAAGCACGCTTTTTGTTGTTGTATGTGTAGGTTCCAACTATAACGATTGTATTCAGTACTTTCCATATCCACTAAATCATCTTGTCGACTACCCAGGTCGAACAATACGGTACGAATACGTCCATAAAGCGTTAAATACGGCCCGTAATCCAGACCGGTGTTTTACGACCGTATTTTTGTCGTATACAATATACTTATGGCATACATGCGGCAAAAATACGGTCATAAAACACCGGCCTGGTTTACGGCGAAAACGGTATAAATACAGTCGTGCACGGTTTGTTCACGGCTCGTATCCAGTGACTGTATTCAACCAACCGGGTAATTAGTATATCAACAAAAAGCAATATAACTTTTCATATAAACAGATGTTGAAATTGATCTTCTTATTAGACATCCATATCGCGCATAAATTTAAGCAAACTATTGTTAATTACTATACTTTGTAGTGTCTACATAGAAACTTTGTACCTATAAATACGATTTGACTGGAATAAAAATTAATAAAATGTCTATGACTTCTGCTCTCATTTCTCTCAACCTTGACAGTCCACTGATCAATAGGGTTTGGTTTTATTTCCATGCATTCATTACAGTATTCGACAAAAGTAAAATTCATTTGCATGGTATGTATCGATTTTTATGAGTCTTAAATATGAACAAAATGAAATGTCTCTCGTATCCAGTATTAGAATTTAGAGGAAACATGTTTATCTTTTATCGTTAAAGTATTCATAATATGTGATTCAATTTTTTTAATGTTAATACGGTAATTTTCAACAAGCTCGTCAATAAAGTAATAAGAAACTGATTTGAGATTCAAAATATTCAATTTATCTGAAATATAAATTCACATAAGAAAAAATAAATAATTTTACTGGATTTAAAAAAAGTACGTATGAATCATACAATCAAAATTATATTTACATGTGAAGGGGTTCAATTCATTTTTTTTCCAATAAGACTAATCACATCTAATAAATTTATAGGCGCCACTGGGATAAAAGAATCCTATTATTTGCTAATTCATTAATGATTGGTGGTTATCAGTATACGTCAAGGATATACAAAATCTTGAATAGAAAAATATTCAAGGTTATATCATATTTTGTTTTATTACACATATAGGTATAGGCGCGGAATTATGGCTCATGTTTAAAAATTGCATTACCAAGTATTTAAAATGTATGTAAAATCAAAATAGAAACATATATTGAAATGCGCCACTATTCAACAGTATTATATTTTTGTACCTATTGTTCATGTTGATAAACTAACCAACACTGCGGAGAGAATGTTTTATGCTTAGACGCCTTTTTATTTATCGAATTTAACTCATATGAATAAAACATAAACTGTTGATTCATGCAGAAAAACAGTTAACTAAATGAAATCCCAGCTTACAAAATTGCACCAGCCCTTATGCATTCAACTACCGCTACTATTCTTTTAGAGATTTTGTCAATCAAGACTTTACTTTAACTGCACCCTCACAGAAAAGTATCTCATACGAATGATGTTCTAATGTATTGTAATCAACGATACATATTTCCAATAATTATACCAGATGATAGCGAATAAATAGGTTCCATGAAATGAGATATTTCAATATTCTAAGAATGTTGATTTACTCGTGCTTTAAAAAATCAATATAAAATATTTCTTTTTAAGGCCTAAACATCTATTTTAAATTAATCTACCTGTTTTCAAGATGAAGAATCGGAGTGCCAAGAGGACTTAACTTCGGCTTATAAATAATAGTTAATCCTTTAAAAGTAGATGATAAAAAACATTTGAAAATAAAGTGTGTTTCGAGGGAAGCACATTTAGTATCAATATTCGATATAGTGTTTTGTGATGATGTTTTAATAAAAAACAAATTTTCATATTTTTCTTATTGGTCTACTTTGGGCATGACAATACATGTATGCATCACCTTTATTAAAAGTAACATTTAATTGAATACCTTTTAGACAATGTTGTTCAACAAAAATTAGTTTCCTGGCGCTCATCTTGACTTTTTAAAATTTCTCTGTTGATTATTTAGGTTCTAGTTTTCGCGAAAAACAAGACAGTACGGCTTAGTATTTTCTCGATAAATCCCTTAAAATCGAACCTTTTAAAAGAAAACTATATATATTCTAAAAGAAGAGACTTTGAAGCATCTACCCATGATAAAAACTCAAACTTTAATTTTTCCGAAAGAATCGACTTTTTTTTTTTAGAGAAGGGGGAGCCGGGCCTTAACGTGTCTCTGATTAGTCATTCATGAGTGCGAATGTTATATATTTCCTCTGATTATAATCACAGGGCCGCAAAAAAGGAACATCGGCCATGAGCCGATGGCTACAGAGAATCAACCAAATACTTCACTATTAGAAGACAAACATATTTGATAGTGATACAGTACGCATTTCAGTTAAGTTTCACTATGAATCTTTTTCTGCCGCGGCGATCAGAGAGATGCTCATTACAAGCACCAGCAAGCGTCCACTACAACTCGAGTTGACACAAATGAAGCACATACTACAATCATACAGTTGGACAAAAATGAAAACTTTTACGAGTAAGTATGTTACAAAATTGTGCTGGTGGAAAAGGCACGGTGTGATATTATTCCATTGAATGTCATTTTTCTGAGTTAAACTGTGATCGTGATATTTGTTTCTGTGACTTTGCTCAGATTTCTTCTGTAATAGCGAAGGATTCGACTAACACAATGGATACGGGCATATGCCGGATTTTCCAATTGAATCATTGCTTCTATAAGAAAGAAACTGAGGTTGATTTCAGTCTTTAATATCATGGCTAATGTTATAGGACATGGAATAGCAACAAGACGGCATGTGATCAAACTTATATCTATGAAGTGAACCATAGACGTTGAGACTTATCGATGTCAACTGTGGGCAAGTACTTTTGACTTTGCAGTAAAAATGTTTGTCAGCGGTGCTTTCAAAGATGTTCAGTGTGCTGATTATGCATGCATAAGGAACTAACTCGAATATTGCATCAACAATAAGATGAAAAATTTCGTAAAACCTCTCAGAATTCATGAAAATTTCATAGAAACTATGAACAATAAAAATCAAATATTGAAATTAATATGAATTTAACATCGACAAAAATTATCAACCTCTACATATTTGGAGTACACAAATCAGTCTAAGAGTAATTCAACAATCTATTTAATGTTGTTTAATGTAACTCATTTTATTATATACCCTTGCATAGCTTATGTTTTTAAATTTAAAGAGTACTAACTTCATTTCATCGCTGATTTATCCATTGCGGAGCCCTGCTAAACTCTTATTTTAAGAAATAAAACAAAATACATCGGTAAAAAGTACTCTACATTATTATTTAATTATTCTGATGCAGAATCGAACTATTTTAAGTTTTTATAATATTAATTGATATTCAATTGAGTTCATTGCTGTCAAAGAAGTGTTGATATTAGCAGATTGATTTTATCTTTTCGTTACTAGATAGATCAAATCACAACATATCTTCGTAATAGAGTGTACACCACCGTAATTAAAGAGACATATTGGCGAGGTGTTTTATTTTATTATGTCCTAATATTTGCATACCCCCTTGCATTGCTAATCATCGAACTATAAAAGGTTTTGGCATAGACATTCGCATTATCTTACGCTTGAAGTCTCGAAACTCAATATCTTTTATTGTTGCCCCTTTCGATAGTTTCCGCCAGCTTTCATTTGGACGGAATATATTAATGGTTTTTGGTACAATCCAGTCTTTGACACCAGTTCGACCAACGATTTTTTGAAGAAAGTATTGCTTCCAGCAACGATCACTATAATGAACGCCATATGCAACATCTGATGATAATACGATCGACTTGTATGGTTTCAATAGTTGTGCTTCGTGTATTCGATGCATCGGTATAGCAAGTGAGGGGATAAATGCTGCAGATGAACTCTTATCCCAAGCATCGGGCAATCGTTTCCGGTGTATATAAGTTTCTGTAATTGAACCATTAGTACAGTTGACGAGATTTTCATGAGACATTCTCAGTAATTTGAAACTTATCTGGGCAATATCTGACCTGGCTTGGTTTTCTATGACGCTTCGAACTGAATTTGATGATCGAGGAAATATAAAAACGTCAAGATCAGACATCAGAGTCCAAATGCATCGATCTCTTGTGAACAACAAAGCATGAGTGTATGCTTGATTTTGGGAACGTCTCCATGGCCATCGGATAATTTCAAGATCAGCTCGGTTCGTAAACAATGTTGTGAGACCATCTGTTGAATTGTTATCATAAATGATAAGATGATCGAAACCAACACGACGGTGATATTCATACCATTCATCAACTAAATATGCCATATTTCTAATGGTTGTAACGAAGCATAGGAAATATCGCGGCTTTCCAATTGCCTGATAATGCTGTGGATTGTACCGTGCAACCGAATTCACAATTTTTTCTCCATTCATAATAGTTAGTCTGTCGCCGAATTCTAGTTCGCGAGGAAGATGGCAAAGAAAACCTACATAATTATTAAAAATGTTCGATTTTTTCGCCTCCTTCATTATTGTCCTCTGATAACCAAGTAAGCAGAACATATCTTTCGTTTGACCAACAATTGCTTGACCGAAAAGCCACATAAATCCAGACGGTCCAGGTGCACTTGTGTAAATCAGTTCAATTGTATCATTCCAAGAAAAGTCCAGAAAAGCCTCGTGAACTATTGGCATTTTTTCTGGTAGCTCATAATCAGGTCGATATTTAATCAAAACAAAGCGATTATTCATATGAAAGAATATAAGCCAAAAAAGAAAACAGGTGAATATTCCCTTCAATATGGATCTTCTTATGTTAACATTGTTCATTTTAATTTCTATCTATAATTATTTTCAAAAAACAAGATTAATTTAAGATAGATTATCAGGCTTCATTATTTTGATCGTTTGTATTATATTTTAAAACTTGAATTCAATGCAAAAAAGAAAAAGAATATTTACACGGCAACTCTTTAGTAGGCTTGCATCCATAGAAAAACGTCACTATTTTTCGAGACGAATTCATGCACTCAATGATACGGACTATGTAGACATAGAACGCCAGCTCACTTTTCTTCCTTCCTTCACATTAACAGTAAACTGTAAAAACTAAGTGTAAAATAATAAACTATCATATCTGTCTTTTACCATTGACACAAATGTTCTCTTTTGATAAATTCTAACAACTGTTTGTGATCTATTGCGACTTACTATACCTTTGTACTGTTTTTCATAGTTAATAAATATTTTTCAGTATGTGAGAAAAATAAAATATTAGGTGTAGGTTTCTCATAGTGCACTTCGGACACAATCGAAAAATAATAAACACTTCATTAGATAGTTTTCACTGTTCATAGGTCAAAGAAACATTTATGACTACAGAAAAGAGCCTGAGGATATATAGATATATCAATGGTTACCTACCCTATATGCAGGTTTATGAACAGAGAGTGTTTCTACAAGGGTACATTAAACAGAGTGAGCTAGAAAAAGTTCATACCAATAGTATAATAAAAGATTATGAGGATTGATTAATCTATCCTTAGTTTTTACAGTATATACTGCGTGAATGGTAATGAGTACTTTAGTTGACTTCCAATTAACACTCGTTGAAAATATCTTATCAAGACAGTACTTGAGAGAGAAATGTAGATATGCATCTATTCAATTCTTTCACAATTACACTCATGCATCTTGTCTACAATGTGAAAAAAACGTCGACAGTTCTTTTCTTTGCAGTTGCAACTACTCAGACATCATGCATCACCTAGTTGTACAATACGCTAGAAGCATTCATTATGCTGAATCAATAAAGAAATAAGGAATGAAATCATGCACACTTATAATGTACAATGTTGAAAGAACAGAACAAAATATTGTGAACGATATCGTTTCGTGAGCACTAGACAGGCCCCAAATTATTAGGCTTGGGTGCTTCTAGTTGATGCTATTATTAGAGTTTCATCTTTGAAAGCAAACACCTTTATCTGCAATGTTAAATAATTGTAACAGTTAAAAGTGGTCACACGTTAGGCCATACAGAAAAATTTGTATCTACCGACTAATCTTCTATTGGAATGAATCGAATCTTTTATTTACCATTTTGATCTTAAATTCTGCCTCCCTTACTATCGTTTTCAAGTGTAAACCATTTGTCCAAATACTCATACCATAACATGTCACATTTATGATATTACTGTGTTGGAAGAACCCGACGGGCCTAGTCCGTTGTTTGAAAGTAGGGTCATTTCACTCGACGGCATTTGACAAGGGTTGCATCTGATTCTCGATTATAATAGGTATGAGCCCTATAATGCACTATGTTGAGTATTGAACCAAAGAAATCACAATCATAAATGGAATTCGAAAGAAAAAAGGACTTTATTTGAAAAGTTAATCAGCACGGTCATACAATGCTATATTTGAATCTGTGCTCTGTCATATAAGTATCTTATTTTCGTTTTTTTCTCGTTTGAATTAACTTACATATGTATATTCACTCTTTTCTTCGATTGGTCTTCATGGAATGAATCGGTATCCGAGTCATTGGATAGTCTTTCAAATGCCAAAGATGCTGTTCCGCTCGTTTTTCCGTATCGAATTGAATACCACTTCGATTATTATTGATTAAAGATAGATGCGAAACATCTGGAATTACTAGAAAAGGAGGGAATGCTACTCGAACAGTAAGTTTTTGTTGTTGTAAGTAGCGATAAACGTGATCATACGGTTTTGGTTTACCAAATTTTAACCAGTGAAGAATCGGACGATAGGATTTTCTTCTTAGTAAGAGAGCAAATGCACCGAATGTAGCCCGATCTGCATCAAAACATGCTTCGCTAGGCCAATCAGTATGCTTTGAATGCCATATAGTAGCTCCTAACAATAGAACATCGGCTTCCAGGCAACGAGAAGGCAACTGTTTAAACAATACGGTAAAATTACGATGCGGAATTGCATCATCTTCAAACACAAAAACCTTTTCATAATTCTTGCGAATAATCATATTGAAGAACTTTGTCATTGTCGCTCTTAGACTCTGCTCTCCGACTGTTAGAGATCCATTTTTCACATGAGATTCATAAGAAAATCGAATGCCATTGAAACGTCGAAGATCGATTTGAGCATACTGTTTAAAAGCATCAATCACACTTGTTACTCGTTGGTCATAGCCGGGAACCGTAATTATATATGCTACGGGTAATCTACCGTCATGATTAATCCTTATTACTAGTGATGCTGTCTTGTAGCAGTAAAAGTTTGAAAATATGCTCGTAATAACAATAATTCCACATATCATACATGTGTACGTAGATTTTAACTTGAATCGCCACATTTAAACAAACTTCTTTAGGATTGTATTTGTTTCATCGAAATAATGTGCGTATTGTTCTTAAATGTAGTCGCACGGATTTATGAATACAAATACAAGAATCTAGAAATTGATGATAAAAGTTGAATACTATATATATCATAGCAGTAATATTGAAGTACATTTTCACATAATTTCGAACTTAATATCAATGCTGCTTAATGAAAGCAATTCTACTCTAAAAGCACTCAATCCATATCAAAATCATCAGGATCACACATCAATGTAAAAAAAAATGTACGATAATAAACTCTTCACTAAATGCTTTCCAAGAGTATAACAAAGAATTTCTGAACAGCTTACTCTAAGCCAAGCTTCTTTGCTTCTCTTTGATGAATCATTGAAGCAAATATAAATGAAAACAAAATAATTCATTTATTGAATTTTTTTTTTAATACTTCCAATTAAATAATGTGCTCTACTAAATATAAACGGAAAGCAGTATACATTTTTTTCACAAAGGTGGAACAATAAACTTATTTTTATGAGGGGTGACAGAATTCTCACCAGCACAACAATGAGAATTCTGCACTACTAATACCTATATTAGAGGTGGCACTTTAACTTTAAATTGACCGTAAAGTGCAGAGTTTAAAGTCATGCTTAAATACTTCTTTTTAGCTTTTTTTTCTGTTGCAGAGAGTCTCATAAGTATGACTAAATACGTCAGTACAGTCAAAATTATTAAAAAGAAGCGTTTAAAGGCGACTTTAAACAACTTTAAACTTTAAACTATACGGTTAAAGTAAAGTTAAAATGCCACCTCTAACCTAGATCACTTAAAGATGCAATGGATAGTACCAATATAGAATTCTGTGTTATTGTATTCATACACTCACTTGTATAAAAATCAGAATTCTAAGCAGAATTGATCATTTACCTGTAGAATAACCACTACTCATATCCGTAATTAAAATCTAGTTTCACGAATTACATATCGTTATAATTATGATTTAATTTCCAATTAATCTTCAAAATCTGTCTTTTTTGATTATTGTGAATCATAGTTACGACTGTATGGTATACATTTACTATTACAGGCGTTAGCAACCAGTGTATGCTACTGTTACACACATTAGCAACCACTGGGTATTATGATAAGATATATTAAGGACTATGTATCATAGACTAAATACATTAAACATTGATTTCAGACTTGATTTATTTTTTCAATGTACAGAAATGAAAAAACTACAATAAATATTAATTGTGATTAAATATCAAATTTATTCATATCCATTGTATTTAAAGATAGAAAAATATCAATATCAAATATTTCTTATAAATAATGTTTTATATTCATAATGGAAAAAAAGCCGTCGAACTCTAAATCATTTGTATTTTTTTAATTAAAAGAACAATTTTGCTAATCACTTATAACTTTTTGGAATAAAAATAATTCTACGATTTCATCTATACAGATATTTTTCTGAATAACCAATATAGTATCATAGTCTTTCTTCCTATTGCTCATCTATTTAACACTTTTTCTTTCTTCCTATTGTCCATTTATTAGACTTTTCTTTTCTACTCGTTCTTCTCTCTGTCCTTCTCTCTCTTCAGTAGGTATATAATTATGTGATATGTACGTAAATGATGCGACTCATGTTATAAAGAAGCTAAATAAAACGTAGTTTCATCAGCGTAAGAATATCTTATATCTGAAATCGTCATTATTTATATACAGAGCACACGCTGATATACTCAACGAAGAAAGAGAAGAAAGATGAGAGAGGAAAAGGCTAATAAATGGACAATAGGAAGAAAGCAAGAAGCAAATAGATGAGCAACAGGAAGAAAGACCATGATGCTTACCACTGATATTGGTATCATTACAATACTTAATTATCTTAATAAAACATAGACAAAAACAACTAATAAATATGGCGCTTAAATTATTCAGAATTAATATTTCCAATTTCAATTTTAATGAAAGTATTTAGATATAACAGATAAATATTTTTAATTCTATACGGTATAAGAGTTTTGTTAAATCAACCAAACTAATCAAAATATTACAATTAATTATTATTCGTAAATCTAATATCAGTAATAAACCAATAGTTTAACTGAAAATTTTTGTATCAATATATCAAATCATATTCTTTCAAAGTTTGAATTTTATTACAGTAGCTAGCCTAAAAAATGATGATATAAACTTTTCGTTTGAGAGAGGATCAATTATCATATGTAGTGAATAATTGTCACATTTAATCATTTCAAGGTAGTCATTATTTCATCAACAAAAGTTTATTTTATAAATGTTTATGATAGTAAGTTAGCTAAGAATAAACAAGAGCTTCGATCGTCTTTAGTATATTTATAATTTCCACTTATTCCATTTAGTCGAAAAATTTTGTCAAATATATCTTTATAAAAATGTATCAAGTTCCCAGCTCTTATCACAAAGTAATTAAAATTTCTCAACATTTTATACAACATTATTTATCAACAATATCAATAGCTATATCATCTTCATATCTTCTCTCTACTACTACTATTACTACTACTACTACTAGAGGTGTCAGCTGTACGACTGAGCGGCCGCAGTCACCAAATTACTGGTAATTTTAAGAATTTTTGGGGAGCCGCCATTGAAAAAAATTTTAAGAATTTGTAGCAGTCACTATTGAAGACATTACTCATTCAAATGACCAGCCGCTGGAAATTTCCAAAAATTGAAAATTGTTGCCCGCTGTCGCCGTTCAACCTTTCGGTTGACACCTCTAACTACTACTACTATTCACTATTAATGTATTCAATAACCTCTAAATGTTAAAAAGTTAATTTTCCCCCATCTTATATCTTAAAACATTATGAAACTGATTCTATTAAACAAAAGAAACTCATCTATTGAGCTAGTATCTACGTAAGTGATCCATAATGTGCGAGTTCCATATTTTAGCTCCGATGGGGGTTGCACTGAAAAGATATTTTTCTGTACTGATTTCCTTGTAAAACTCAATTGATCGACAGATCAACATTTTTGAATTCAGATATGGAAATTTTAATGAGAAAATATTTAAGAGAACATTCATATGAAAACGGTTGCTTGAAATAAAGCGATAAGGTTGACACTAATAATAAAATACTTCAGCATATTGTAATTATATTTGGAAAATTCTTCAAAAACTGAATACTTAACGTCTGATTCCAGTTCAAACACCAATATTCCTTACATAAAATACACGAAAGCTTTATAAAAAATCTCAGAATTCTGCTTTTAAAAAAATTCTAAGCAAAGCTTCCATTTCGATAGATACTAATATATATATATATATATATTCTTGCATTGATACAAAATTCTGCTTAGAATTCTGATTTCGATATACAGTAGTATGTGTATACGAAAACACAGAGTTCCTTCAGAGATACAGAATTCTCACACAATTATGTTGGAAAAACAAAATTCTAGGCAGACTTTTTATTGTAACCAATGTACAACTATATATCACACAAGAAAGAAAGAAACTTGCATAGTTTGTAAATGAACAGAATTCTCGAATTTCGCCACTACTGTTTTTTATTTGCCATAATCACTTTCCGCTTTCATAAACCATTTTACTCAAGATCCCTTTAATGGGTTAGCAAAAAAACGTAAACTTTTTAAGGTTTAGTACTATACGTTCTTTTTCTTATACTGAGCATGCATTCTTACCTTCTTCTGCTGGCTAAATATTCAGGTTGAATAGGCTATCAAACTTTTAAAATAAAATGCTCTAGCTTGTGAAATCGAAGGACGGAATGAATGCTTGCTCAAGTCTGTATGAAGTATCGATTCTGCGTTTCTTTTTTCGTCATAGTAAGAACACAACAAACAGTAATCCTTACCTTTCTCCAACATAAAAGTATGCAGGAGAATGAGAAACAGCCATGATGCCACATAATTCAAGGTTTACCGTCTGCATTCATTTTACATCCGCAGTGAGCGAGTAAGTGGTGAGACAGTCAGTGTACGCGACCGTTTCAGTCTAATTAGATAGATATATTCTATTATTTTGCAGATATACCAAACGTACTCTATTCGATACTGAGCCTATGGGCTTTTTGATTTCAAACTGAGTTCTCAAGAAAGAAAAGGCACCCTTTATATACGTGACGCGGTGGAGCGGGGGGGGCTTGTTATCCTTAAGTATATAACTATGTATGTCTTTTTTTGAGCTGAGGGTTGGGGGTTTTAGAATTCTCTAGCTGTATGTGTCTTTTTTTAAACTGGGGGCTAGGGGGCTTCATAATTCTTTACCTATCTAACTATGTGTGTGTCTTTTTTTTGAGTTGGGGACTAGGTGGCTTCAGATTTCTTTCGATCTACGTATAAGTATTTATGTGCCTTTTTGAGCTTGGCGTCGGAAGAGCTTCGGAGTACTTGCAGAGTCATGTTTAAAAGTGTTCAGCTATTTGCGTGGGTATATCCGTTTTCGGTTGGGTTGTTGGGGCCCTTAGAATTATATATCGTCAGAAATTAATCTATATTGTAATCGGGATCATCGAGGGCTAGTGCTCTTTCGGGATGAAATAATATTTTTCCATCTTGATAAGGTTGCTGGAATCTGTAGTAGCAGTTTTAGTCAATGATTCTCGATTATCAGGAGACGTTTCCATCTTTTTGTTCAACGCTGTTTTGGGCTAGAAAAGCAGGAACCATATGGTTTTATCATTTTCATCTGTTATATGGATTACATGGAGAATTTGATGGATGTTCTGTGCGATTATTGGACGACTCTAGATGTTTTTGATGATTTGGTTTTTAATAATTATATAGCTAAAAAATTATAAAGCCCCCCCCCTCCCCAAGTTCCCCTTTTCCGTATGAATTCGAGTGCTTTCTTTTTCTCGTAATTTCAGATTGAAACCAAATGGCCCATTGTATGTCGATACTGGGAAGTGAAGTTTCATACTAATTGCAGATAATGTGTATGTACGAGTAGATTTACATTTGGCAATGAGAATTCCAGTGAGTAATCATTTTGATAGGTGCATAAAAACTTGGAAATATTCGTATTGGGCAGAAACGAGTATGAATGGTTGTTGCTGTCAGTGTTGAGATTCATGGGTGGAGGCTGGGAAGACTTACTCTGGATGTAGTTTTAGTGCTGCACTTCCTCGATGAATATGATTATCAAAATATCATAACTACACCCAACATGCATATTCTAATGAGACATCAGCACAAGATAATCATATATGCACTCGCATGTTAAATAAATATTCATATGCACACTCACGCTAACTACACTCTAAATAAAAAACGTTTTCTCAGAAAGCGAAACCCCTTCGGGAACCCTTTCGTAAACCTATGAACGTATTTGAAGAGGTTTCCGGACCTAGACTAAGATTGAAAAAGTATCCTCTGGGCTTCCGAATACTCAGCAACCTATGAGCTTTCAAGATTTAGGTCTGGAAACCCTCAACCGTATTCTCAGAAACGTAGATGCTTTTTTGTAAAAGTCACTTTTGATTTAAAAACCCTCTCGAAAACTTTTGAGCATCCAATCTTTTTTTATCGAAAACCTTTTTTGATTTGCGAGCAACAGAAATAGTGAAAGCGTTTCCAACAAATCAAACATGGTTTTCGAACATATCTCGAAAAATTCCAACAGTTTCCAAACATTCAGAAAATCCTTACGTTCCCAAGAAGATATTTTTTGAAGCTCATCCTGTGTTCTGAAACACCGGAAAAACATTGTGACATCTTCTTTTTAATGCTCATATTTTCATTGTTATTCTAGAGGTTTAGGAATTGCTCGAAATGCATGATACAAATCTTAGGCATTTTATGTGCAGTTGTTGTGCCAAACCAGTAGGACTCTGAGAATTCAAAATATACTTAGCTTCCGAGAGCAGATCGACTTTTTTTTATACATCTTCCATTACCTAAAAACTTGAATGACTTATGACAAATTATACTGGAACGGCTGAAGAGCTGGACTTAATAGTCAGGTCATTAAAAGAATATCGCTTTTCTTCTTCTTCATCCTTTTTGCTTCATCGAAGTATCGAAGTGCAAGTATTATTATCCTTGTCAACAGATTACGGCGGACTATAATGCAAGTTTAGGACATTTGAGCATTGATTTAACTGATTTATATAGAAGAATGGTATAGGTGGAATGAAGAAAAAATGGTAGACACTTGCTGTTTCACACCGCAAGATATTGTTCCAAAACTGATTCGTAAAAGGTTCGAAAAGAAATCCAAACACTAAAACTACACTTCGACGCTAACAAAACTAAAGGCCACAGGAGTTCAAATGACATTAACATAATGCTTTCGAAAGCATTAAGGACGCCAAAAATTAGACTACCTTAAAGACTTTAACTTCATCGGAATGACATTAACCGACATGACGACTTGAAAAGTTTAAGTAATTTCACGGCACTGGTTTTGAAAGATGCCAAGACTACAATACACAATACGGACTTAACGACTCTTGCTGAAAACGTAAAGACTTGACGAGTAAGACTGACTCCATGATTATGATTTTCACATACAGGAAGGCATAACGGCTAAGACTAACTTTTTCACTCACTACATCAAAGAGCGGCATGGAGACTACACCAATAAAACTGACAACCAGGCGCTGATTATAAGAGACAGGTAGAATGCAAAACTTAGACTAGATTAAGGACATTCTATTTAGAATAAATCACAATTCTACCACTTTTCTCACTTCACGACCTGGGATTTGAAAATTAAAGCATTTGAGGAATCTCACAAAAGTCCACACGTCTGTCTTTGAAAAGATTCAACACTTTGATTAACGCCATGTCTGCATCCTTAGCAGATGATTAGACATGAGGACTTCAACTGACAATATGACTCTGAAACTAACAGTTATATACTCTTGAGGATTTTCAATAGTTTCCAACGGATCGCTTTAATAGATATGGACAAGGAAGAAACTCGATGCAAAATAATGAGTTAACGCCAAGGGAATTTTCTTCACTGCTATATTACGTACAAATGTTCACTTGCATGAAACTGAAATCAACATAAATAAGTAATATTACTGGATTAAAACCAGAGGACAAGTATAGATTGAAGTATTAGAGTGGAAGTGGGGTATACTTAAGAGATATTCTAAGAGGTTAGATCAAGACATCATTATGAAAGGATAGATATAGAATAAGAGCATATATTAATGCAATAGGTTAATATCACAGAATAAGCGCTTACATTAATAAGTTAGAATAAAAAGATGGATACAGAACAAGAGCATAGGAAAAAGGGACAGATAGATTAAGGGGTTAGAATAAGACCATACGATTAGAAGATAGATACATATTAAGGGATTAGATTAAGATGTTGAAATGAGAGGAAAGATACAGTTTCGGGATTTCAATGAGTTGATGGAATATTGAGTTAGAATACGACAATAGATATAGATTAATGAATCATTTTAGGGTAGTAGCCGGTAGCCTATCGCAGAATTTTGAACTCTCGGAAACTTCTACTGCGTTTCTGGGATCAGGCTCTTTTTGATTAATTTGAAGGGTTTTCAAGAGTTCGGAAACTCTTTCCCAGAAACGTATAAAGGGTTTCATATAGTGACAAACCCGGAAACCTTCTATAGGATTCCCAGGAAAAGGATTTTTTTAGGGTTTAGGAAGAGAGGATCAGTTCTGGATGTTTCTTTGGTTCCCTGGATAGTGACGATCATATGAGCTATCGTAAGGATGTTTAGGTTGGGTATTGTTACGGTTTTCAAATTTTGGTGGGTAATTTGAAGAAATGGATAGGGGAATGAATCAGGATACTTGATGGTTCCGTTGATCAATTCTCGTTTCCTCCAAGTTATTATCTCTTTTGGCTGGGACTTGTAGTATCGAAAGAATTCCTAAACTTCAGTCCTTAGACACTGCTGTTTATAGGCCAGAAAAATAATAAAAAGGAATAGACCATAGATGGAGTCGAACACAGACAGACATTATTTAATAACTGACGGGCATCCAGGCAGTAGAACATATTATAGGGATATATATATATGTATATATATACGTCAGTTGATAGAGTTTAAATTACAAGATGACTTCCATCAGTTTAGTTGACAATGAAGAATTAATTACACTTGGATTTTTCTGACTAGTCAGAAACGACTTAAATATCTTAATTTAGAATTCCGAAACTGTGCCGCAGGAAAATAAAACACAATATTTATTGTATGCTGGGTATTCCGATCTACGTTTTTAACACTCCGTTACTCATAAATAACAGACTGTAATCTTTTTATTTAGTTATATTTTTATATACAATTTACATTCTATTTCGTTGAAATCATTAATTCTGTCAGATTAAATTTAAATATACATTCGGATAGAAAGAAAATGATTTACAGATAAATTTAGAATAATTATATGAAATTTAATCTTAAACTCTAGAGATCATTGAAAATATTTATTTTCATTGTGGTCTAAATGATCCTAGGATTTATTTTTATACCAAAAAGTTTTTTTTACTATAAGATTAATCAGTTCTGATAACAAAATGACCAGAAAATATTATTAAAAGTTTCATAAGTAATTTTTTCTAAGAAACAATTTTTCTACGACAAGCTAAAAACTTTGAAAGTATATGAGATAGGATTCATGATCAATATTCATATCTAGAAATAAGTTCCTCGATAACATGGTTCAACCGTCTGAACACTTGATAGGCGACAACTTGGTGCGTATGTTCGAATCTACTAACTATACGTTCATATTTTAAAACTGACTAGTCCGAACGCAACCCTAGGGCCTAATATGTGGCGCCACAGCTTCGTTGATATATTTTATTTGCATCACTTTTCGACTCCCGTCCAGGCGATAGCATATGCCTGGTCTTTTTCTGAAAGAAGATTAGACATATCATAAATAAGACGCCCGTTAATTGAGTAGTCAAGACGTGCTATTTGGGCCACAGCTAATTCTGGACTAGTCCGGTACCCGGACTTTTTGAGAAAAAGCCTAGACTGGACATGGTGATACGACTAGAATAAGGACTAGTCTTTTCCCCCGTCTTTTTCTCTCCTGGGTATGTTAGTCATTTGCAGTCATACCATGTCCATAGTGAGAGACGATCATTAGAAAGCAGGGTCATCGTGTTTCATATTTTAATTCTACATGGATTACGCTATTGGTTTTTCTTATTAATCCATGCAGAGCATTATGGAAACTCATAGGAAATAGTTGATAATATTCATTTCCAACGTCACTTCAGTCGATTTTGTAAAATAGTGTACGTTGTATTGATGGCATCATTTTCAAGTGAATATTAAATTTAACTGTTTTTTTTCTTTCTGGTTGAATTTTGAAGTGAAACTTTCTGTGCAACCAAACAGCCCGCAGTTCGAACCGGGGAGAGAACATAAGACTTGAATGCTAGTGTTAGCGAAGATAACCTGTGTGATCAGGAAGCTTTATTTCATGTGACCAATATAATTATTTTAAAATTTCTAGCACAAACAATTTTTTGTATGCTTTTCAGATGCCATTAAAGTGCATAATGAAACGCATGAGTTCTGTATGCAATTGCAAGACATGGCGAAGAAAACGTTTGAAGGACGCTCTTATCAATCTCATTCTAATTTTCACATTTGTTATATGCGTAATTCGGTATAGAATGTTGATGAAAGAACAAAAACGGAAGCCCGCGAAAATACAATCTCGATTTGTCTTGGGCGTTCTCGCAGATCAACAATTGATGAATACTCTCGTCAACGCTTCTCGACAAACATGGATACCCTCTTTTCGACACGACATCTTCTATTTTGTTGGAAAAAGACGTGGAAATTCTGTTCGATTTCCATCAAAATCGAATATTGTCGAGTTACCTGTAGATGATAATGAATATCCACCAGTGAACAAAACATTTTCTATGTGGGCATATTTTCATCAGCAGCATTTATCTCGCTATAATTACTTCATAGCTATTGATGCGGACACTTATGTTAATGTTAAAAATTTGCAAATAATGTTGAATTCGATCAAATGTCAAAATTGTTATGTTGGCCATCCAGCTACAGGGGAGCCATACGAACGAGCACGCCTTGGACTTAGTGCTCCATACTGTCTTGGTATGGGATATGTAATTGCTCGTAATACACTTCGTCGATTCGCTCCAAATGTCAATGTTTGTCGTCAATCAACAATAACGAACCACTCAGATACGGAATTGGGACGATGTATTTATCGATTCGCATCGGGCATATCTTGCAGTAGAGTCTCAACTGCCCTGGAGAGAGTTATGTACACAACAAATAAGCAAGGAGCAATAATTCCATTTAGACGCGATTCACATGGGCGCCTTCAGATAGAATTTCCAGAAGCACCACCAACTCGATTTTTCAAAGCTGCTCTTGTTCACCCATTAAAAACCTCACATGCAATTTACCAATTCCATCGTCAAGTCAAACTACAATTACGACCCGTCCTTCCACCAGCTTTCTTGAGTGGCAGCTGCGTAGCTAATCCAGTCATTCAAAATGAAACCTTTCCTCAAAATCGCCATGTACTGGAATGTCGCTTGGAAATACCAACACAATATCCCAATCACTTACGTTCTTTAAGTGCTTTTGTAGTTACATTGCATGGTTATGAAAAGCGTCTGAAACGAACAATTAACAATTTCAAAAAACACAACATCCATCTGCAGCGTTTTTATGGAGTATCAAATATTCGCTCGCCGAATACAACAAATATGACTGACGGAGAATGGAGTTTTCGTTTGACAATGATCCGTTTGATACAGAAAGTAATTGATGCTAAATTGCAACAAGTTCTTATAGTTGAAGATGATGCTATTCCACATAATCGCTTTAGTCAACTTTTTAAAGAGTTATTCGATAACCATCGATGCAAAGAATGTGTATTTGGTGGCATTTTAATGCTTGGATCCACGACATGGGCATCTGGTTGGAAGACTCTTGATAGGTATAATAATGTCGAGAAAGGAATTTGCCGCAACATATGCACTGGGAACTATGGGTCGTTTGCTGTTCTACTTAATCAAGCAGTATTGCAACCGATCCTTGCTTGGCTGAGAGAAAAAAACATGCCACAACCTTACGATCACGTATTTGCTCACATTGCTCGTCTCGGTTATCCTATAAGATTGACTATACCAAATCTAGTTGCCAGTGATACTAGACATGTATCACTTATTAGACCTCGTCCGAATCACGCCACTTTCAATAATCTAACATTACGAGCAAAAATTCATCGTTGGAAAATTGAAAATTACATGTTTTCACCCTCGAATGAAACAGAGTAAATCAGACTGTTCAACTGCACTGTAATTTTTTTCTCAACTTCTATTAATTGGAAAATCGATCTCAAATAAGCTGAAGCATTTTTAAAGCTTTATGATTTATTCATTGAATTTTGGACAAATTGAAAATGCTTGACTTTCTCATTTATATAAATTCAATCTAAATTTAAAAAGAAATCATTTTCTATAAAGTGGAAAATCCATAATAGATTTCAGGCCATTTGAAAATCAGTTCTGATTTCATAGAAAATCGATTGAGAATGTTTAAAAACAAAAAAATTGATTCTATTTCTTCCAAGATTGTTGAAACAAAGACCGTCACTTACCCACTGTCCTGTTTTTGGTATATAAGTCAGTAGGTATAATGTTAAACATTCATTATTTTCTGCAACACGCTATTAGGAGTTGTTAAATCTTTTTTTTCATTTTATTTTGTTTTTTTTTCATTTCCTTTTACCTTTTATTTTTTTAGTTCTTATTTTATGTTAACTATTGTTCTATTTTATATTTTATTTTACTTTTATATATTTTTGTATTTGTTTATATTGTATTTGATTTGATTTCCATCATCAAGTATAAATGCTTCATGATGACGAGAAAATCAAATTCGATTTTCTAGTTTTTAGAATGTATTTCAATTGCTATATCGGATCCGAAAGTCTAGGAATTCCTATATGAATTCACTCTCGATTTTCCAATCAGAAAATCGAAGTTCATATATTTTTAACGTTTTGAATATCTTATTTTCAAGCATTTAGAGATTCATCGGCGAATTTATGTAGGCATTCCTAGAATATCCTTGATTAAACTCTACAACTTATTTTCCAGTTTACAATGTGAAAAAAAAGTTATTATTCTATTAAAATAAATTTCAAACTCTTATAACTGTTTTCAACTGTTGCTGTTCCAGCATTCTGTTCAACTTTAAATGCACAATGACTAGGCATAGATAACTGCGTGAGTGTGAGTGAGGATCTGAGAGGCAGGGGGAGAGTCATAGTGTTCTCTTCAATCACCCACACCCTCAAGAAGCAGCTTCGATTTTACATAGTTATTGATTCGTATGAATATGTATTATCATGGAGTCGATGGGAATGCGTCAAGTCGTAGTCGACTAAGATATACAATATCAGACATTAGTTATTTTCAATGTGTTAAAATTAGTGATAAATATTTAAAAGAACCTTATCATTCTTTGGAAATGTCTGTATGAATACGACGAAATATGAGATAAAAGAAAATTAAAATTTAACAATTATGTTCCTTTTTTAATTTTATATTTGTTCTGCTACATTATTTCGAGAAGATTTAACTAACTAATTATTTATTTATTTATATAATTATCATTTATTTCTGGCTGCTCTAATTTTTATCTCACATACATTATTAATTGCCTTTTTCATTGTAACCATATCCACACTCTACACATACGTAACATATTATGAATTGCCATGTGATCTGAGCACTATAGTCATAGTGAGAGGTAGTTCTTGTGCGTCTCTAAGAAATGCTTCTTTTAGGTTTGATTCAATCATTCTTTGCATATACAGAAAATAGTTTTTTTCATCAGCTTGGATTAAATCTCTCATTTATAGGCAATAAATTATTTTAATATTCAGCGTTGTTTCTTTATTTCAAAAGATTTTTATCCAATATAAAACTGGAAAAGTACTTAAGCAGCACTCAATTTACTCTTGATCCATGGAAGATAATAACTAACACGAGCATAGACGCCAGGATATCCGGCAAGAGCACATTCACGACCATAACTGACAATACCATTCAAAAACCTAAAACAAGGAACTAGTGAACCAGAGAAGTAGAAGAGAGAGCTCACTTACCATTGTCCGTTTGATTCGTACATTAATGGTCCTCCTGAATCACCTTGACATGTGTCACGGCCGCCACCATGAGCACCGGCACATACTTGTTTTTGATTATTATAAGTACCATAGATTTGTCCACAACGATTTGGCATTGTGTGTAACGAGGTTTGTTTCAAAACTGGACTTGTTTGACCTTGAAACGATGTTGTACCCCAGCCAGCTGAAGAAAGTGGACATTACTAATTGTTTTTTTTGGAAAAGAAAGAGCGGTAGTAGTTACTTACCAACCCAAACTGTGTCATTTTCACTGCGGGCTTCGGCACCTGGTAAACAGATAACATTGATCTTGTCTGAAATTGTCACTGGTTTTGAAAGACGAATAATAGCAACATCATTTTCATGTGTTTGTGCATTGTACTGTTCATGCATAAAGATTCGTTCTGCTGCAATTTTCTGCTCACCATAGACTGGTTGATTGATATCGTGTAAACCGATAATGACTTCATACTTTTGTGTAACAATTGGTGTTCTAAGACAATGAGCTGCTGTCACAACATGTCTTGTATCAATAAGAGTTCCACCACAGAGACCACCATCAGCATGTAAACGTACTTGCCATGGCTGAGAAGCAATACATACAAAATGTGTAGTGAATAGTTAGATTTTATCTGTTTCTCTTACCCATGAGTTTGGAACTGCATGTACTCCTCCGACTATACGTTGTTTTGATGGTTGAAATTTTTGTTTACCACATTCCTTTGGAAAGATGGACGATGATGTAGTTGTAGCCATTGCTTGACAACAGAGACGAGCTTGATTGTTGCTTTGCTCAATGCCTACTTGTCCGGCGCATTCTTGATTAGGTGTGTATGAGAATGACATTTGTCCACCAGTTACTGGTATCCATGAAGAACACAATTTCCCATTGTCACGAATTGTCAATTGATGTTGCCCATAGGTACTGGCAGCAAAAACAACAAGAAATGTTGCGACTAATAACATTATTGAATTATGTTATTGTTACTTCTTTCAGTATGAAATAGTCGTGAAAACTAAAGCTACTTATATAGGCTATTCGTAATGCATACATCACAAGACCATTTAAGAATAATAGACTTGAAAATATTCAATTACACTGTTTAATGGCAAAATCTTTTGTTATTGCTCTAATCCTTCTGTTTTTCTTGAAATCAATATTTTCCGCGAAAACAATTTAATTTCATACTATTGTAATGAAGACGAAACCCATATATTTGATTACGGTCAAACTGCGATGTAGCTACGGTGCAATTACGTTGTCTTCGTTTATCCATATTTTTTATTATTATTTATGCGATTTTTTGTGCAAAAAAAATTACCGAAGAGTATTTTAAGCAAAACAAATACAACAACTGTTAGGGCTATTGCTGCGGGATTAAAAATGTGAAATCTGATATAGTCACTAAAGTAAATCACATGGCGATGGCCTATACAATTAAATTTGTTTTGATTTTGTGTTAGAGCTCGTCAATCACGGCCTGTGAAAGAGGGATAAGTGCAAATTTCTACCCTATATAATTCAAAACTTCTTTTAGATCGTGTTTTACAAAACAGAAAATATAGAAATAAATTTGTCATCACAGCTACCATGGGACTAAAGTATAGAATTCATACTTATCCGTTGGACTTACTAAGAGTGTGGGTGTCGAAATAATCAAAATACATGATTAACAAAGTAGAAGAATAAGCATAAATTAGAGTGTAGCACAAATGAGAGTCAAAAAGTAAATGATAGGCAGGAGAAAAGGCATGCTGGGCCCAGCGACTTATGTTACTATTATTGTTTTAAAATTTCTATATATGCAAGTTATGATAACGATGGCGGTCATGAAAAAAACACGATCAGAACCGATCATTGATTATCGCAATTAGTTAACTAGCACACAATGATTTTTTCAGGATTTCATGTAAAAAAATACGAAATAAAAAAAAGCTATAATTGTATTCCATGAAGTCAGTTCTACACAATCTATACTTACTAACTAAAAGTGAATACATGCAATAAATTATTTGCTACATTCCAACTAACCAATATTTATGCAGCATTACATACATTCTGTTGACTATTTGAAGTCGTATAACCTTGTGCCAACAATTGATCAGGTGAAACGATGAATGCTAATATGAGTCCTGCAGTCATATACCATTCCATGTGACAATGAGACAGCCAAGCACCTAGATTATTGGCTATAAATCGTATTTTTGTCCATCGACATCTTATTACACTCACTACATCTCGCTGTATGGAAGCTCGACGATATAAATTCTCGGCTGCTGGGTAGTCAGACACAGGAAATGATAGCATAGACTATATTGGAGGTTTGTACTTTTATACAACATCTCCTACGGTTACAACATGTGGCTTCAGCAATATTGTTTATTTAAATCCTGCTTTTCACATAATTGATATCGGAGCTCGCAGTGGAAATCTCATATATGGTGCTTTTCCAGTACACGTCATTGGCGGTATTTTGAGTGTTGAAGCAACTCAATTTGATACACCTGCAAATATCGGAATGCCAACTTTGAATGCTAGTGCAACCAGTTTTCATGGATGATATACAAGAATGCATATTTAAACTGTTTTTTTCAAGCACAACAATCAATACTTATTGAAGTACTCAGCGTATTATATAAATCAGTTTTACAATAAAAAAATATTATCTTTTCACTTAATTTCGGTCAATGGGGTTATTCTTTTTCTATACTGAAGAAGACCTCAAAGATTTTTGATGGAGGAATTAGGCTGTGGGCGGGAGTCTTGATTAGAACAACATCCACCCACATGCTTGCGTCAACATCTATATGAAATGTGGAGTCTTCCTTTCCACTCCAAAAAAGAAGAGTGAATGTCTTTTCTAATCTAACTGATCGAAACATATGCTCAGGTACTTATTAAGTGATCCGAATCCATCAAAGGCATACTATTTTTTTAATGTTTTGTTGACATTCTATGATATTATGGTATTTGGTCACGTTTGCGAGTCATAAAATCGAATTTTTCAATTAATTACACTAGTATAGCACCAATACAAAACTATTCTTGTATTTTCATATTTTCTTACATTGGTATTTTGTGTTGATAAGCTGTAACACATCATCCAAGGTAGTCTAGTATGATAAATGACCTGCGCTGAGAAGAGGTTTCTCCACGTTTATAACAAAGAATACGTGCATTTTCTATCTTTACTGCACTGTAAAAAAAATCCGCAAAGTAATAAACGGAAAAATCGTTTTTGATAGGGTATTTAACAAAAAAAAGGGTCTATGAAAGTGCAACGTATCATAAACCCTTTTTTTTCGTATATGACGAAGATAATAAACGGTTTTTAGGTTTACGATTTGGAAAAAGGGTTTATCAGATATTTCAAAAACGGAAAAAGAGTATGTGACACGTTGCACTTTCATAAACCCTTTTTTTAGTGTAGCTTGTACTACACTGCAAATATTAGAAGACATATACCTCCAATTTTCAAAAAGAAGTTTTGATTCTCTCCGTTACACTTCGCTTTATGCGCACTGATTTGTTTGGCTTATGAGTCATAAATCAGAGCGTTAAGATATCATTTGATATGCGGGTGAGTATGAGTTTATGAGTGTTGGTGAAGAACTGGATCTTTCTAACATCTGCACTCATACCGACACCCTTATCAATTCTGCATCTACTATTACTTTTATCATCGTAATAAAGTCCATAAAAGCGATAATAATGAAACGAACTGTTTCGAAGATATATATACACGAAAAAAACCAATTGCTTGTAAAAGTCAATAATAGGACAATATTACATTAGAGATAGAGGCACACAAATGTTTGAAAAGTATCCATAGTCGATTGCAGCGTATCAATAAAGTTTGAAAAGAAACACAAGTGAGTAAGCGATTTTATTCAATTGTGCATCGTAGATATCGTTGTACACAGTTCATCTATTTCAGATTATAGTAAGCAAATTTGCAACAGTCCAATATATCTATCTGTTATCCAATCTTAAAGTTATTTTTCACTCATTTCTCCGTTTCATTTCGCTGATGAATACATTCGAAAAATGGAGACTTAACTTAGCTCAGATTGGTATTACTGGAAGATTTAGACTTTCACAGAACAGCATAAAAAGATGAACTAAGCAGGTGAAATTTATTTCCATGTGTCTTTCGATGCAGTACCGGCAACTCAATCTATTTTCAATTCATTCAGCTTGCCTTTTGCCTCCTAGTTTCATATCATAGAATCAGCAAAATCAGAGATCTTGTTAGTGATCATCAACTAAAATATAACTTATCACTTGAATGACGTTTAAATAAATATAGATCATGATTCAATTAGAATCTCGAGGATCCTTCATTCTTCCGTGGAAACATTTTGATAACGAGAAAAGTGCTTTCGGTACCAAGAAACGCGGTATTCCAACATACTTTAAGAGTGTCGAAAATAGTATTGCAGGATGCCTTCGAGTTTCCCAACGTATTTATTAGATGTTTTGGTAAATTAATATCTTTTTTAGAGCGTACCGCACGTAAAATTGGTTTACAATAACGTTTTCTTATCTAAATTTAAAGAGCCATCCATATTCAAACCGATTTCGTACGCAATACACCCTGATTCTTAAGGCCGTCAAATATTTTCAGAAATCTATTCTGTTTTTCAATTCTTACACATTAACGAAGATGACGTTCTAAGAAAGGTATCTAAAAACGTCTGAATATAAATCTCTAGAGGTTTAAGTAAACTGTCGTATTCTTATTGAAAAACAGATGGAAACAAAAATAAATAATTTGACATACCTTTGTGTACTGAATGCTGATAGGAACACATAGTTCGCTAACGACATCACAAGTAATTGTGATCATGAGAATAAAAACTCATAACTAAATACAGAAAATTTGCCACCACGTATGCCAATATTCTGCATAAACAATATTAGTTTTTCTGTTACAGATGATCGATCGATGTCAGTATTTGCCTCATGTCGAGCCCATTTGTTCAGACTCGCTCTTAACACATACGGTCAACGATGAATTTTGGTCGAACACTTTTCATGACTATGCATTAGATCAATCTCTTCAGTTGCCTTTCGATCGTCAACATATTACTGATAATGATCGTACTTCTTCAATCTACGCGACTACATTCAACTTAGACTCAGCCATATCCTCAGCAATTCTATCTTATGCTTCATTAGCAAATACAACGTTGGAAAATTTGACATTCACATGCTATTATATATTTTTGTTTAAATTAACCAATGGGAACAAAGATTTGTGCGTCTGGCGAAAACTCAACTTTTCGCATCCCTGTAAGTTGCAGCATTCATTAGAAATGTATGTCAATATGCCTTTTATTTCATAAGATGATGCTTTCTAATTTCCACTTAGTATCCCTTTTCTACTACACTTGGATGCTGGTTCTACTGTCTCTCAGCTACTTCTTGAAGTTCAACAACTATCCACGCACACCATGAAGCATGCACACATTCCCTTTTCTCCAATTGTTCAGAGTAATTCAATTTGGGTGACATCCGCCTCCCTAGATGCCTCCTTTGATTTCGTTATAAGCTCTATCAATAATAACATCACAGTAGAACAAAACAATTCAATACTATACGACGAAATGCATCAGCTAGTTGCGTCATCCCACCTCACTCATATAAGAGCCGATAAAAAGGAGCACAACTTTAACTTCTTCACAAAGGTACAATATTATCCAGATAACAGCACATTCAGTGTTACGATTGAATGCACTGCCGACTTATTCAATTTGGCAACGGTACAAGCACTAGGTGAACGTTTTCAGATTCTTTGCCAGCAACTCTTCTGCTCATCGTTTGATCATAATAATCAACCAATCTATGAGTTATCTCTTCTTTTACCTTCGGAACGACATATCATGCAAATAATGAACAACTGTCACATGATACCCAATGAAACTGATTGTATTCATCAGATGTTCGCACAGAAAGCAACGATGCATCCAAGTAAGTTAGCTGTTACACTCGATGAACAGTGTCTCACTTACGGCCAACTGTTGACTCGAGTACAACAACTAGCATGGCATCTTATTAATGAGAAAGATGTTCATCCAGGTGATATTGTCTGTCAATGTGTTGATCGAAGTATTGAAATGGTTGTTGGCATCATGGGCATTGTGATGTCGGGTGCTGTATACGCTCCCATCAATCCCAACGATCCGTTCGATCGACTTGAGTTACTCGTTCGACAAACTCGTGCGAAAGTGGTGCTTACTAATTGTATGTCTCATGCACATGTAAGTCGACTCAATTTGTCGATTGCTAATATCTCTGAGATACTTACATCACACAATGTTCTTAGCGATGCTGAAATGACGAAATTATCTGAAGTAGCTGTAACACCCGAGTGTATCTCTCATATTGTATTCACGTCAGGATCGACAGGTATTCCGAAAGCAGTTCAAATTCGCCATCGCAATTTCATGGGTTACATGCAAGCACACGTTATGCGGGTGGACGACATCGTTCTTCAACTTGCCAGTTCTTCTTTCGATGTTCACTTGGACGAAATCCTTGGTGCTCTTGTTCGAGGTGCTCACTTAGTGTTACTCAAGATTGGAGGACATCTTGATTTCGATTATGTGACAAAGACCATTAATCAACATAAAGTTACTTTTGTTGCACCTGTCCCATCGTGGATCAATGCGTTAGGAAAATTTCTTAGTGAAAATCGTTTCGCTCACGACCGGATCAGACAAGTTCGTCTATGGTATCTCGGAGGTAAAGTATACTAAAGTCGTATGTGTATCATTAGATCCAAGGCCATATTTTTGTGACAGTGGTCTATGTCGAGGTTTCTCTAGAAACAGGAGCTAGCGTTAGACATAAAATATGATGATTTTATTGAAAAGTGATGATCATGACTGTTTTTTTTTCGAAGGTGAACAATTGCTGAGTTCAACCGTTCGACAATTTTTACCATTCGTCAACGAACAATGCCGTATTTTGAATTCTTATGGGCCTGCAGAAATTACAGAGGCGGCCACGTTTTACGAAGTTCGTCGAGATGAACTTTCCACGATTACATCACAACCTATTGGACGTCCAATGGTTGGCTATCGAATTTATCTTCTCGATGAGTATCGACAGCCAGTCATACCCGGTCAACAGGGTGAAATTGTTATTGGAGGTTAGTGATCAACCGTGTGAGTTTTTAGTAGTTTTGTGTAAGAATCGATTTAGGTGTTGGTGTGTTTGCTGGTTATTATGGAAGAGCAGATTTGACATCACAAGTGTTGATTGATATTGATGACGAACAGTGTTACATAACTGGAGACTTAGCTCGACTGGACGTTAGATCGGAGGAGCTTGTGTTTATGGGCCGACGAGATTTTCAAGTTAAATTACGAGGACAGCGCATCGAACTGGGCGAAATCGAAGAAACTATAGTGAGAGGATCAATATTTGTGTCGGGCTGTATTGTGGTCAAGTACACTTATCATGAACAAGAACATCTGCTGGCCTATGTAGAAGTAGCTGGGAACCAAATGAAAACTGAGGAATTACGTGAAGGCTGCGTCTCTAGATTACCATCGTATATGATTCCATCAATATTCATTTGTTTGGACCGGTTTCCACTAATGTCAAATGGGAAAGTCGATCGAAAGGCGTTACCTGCTCCTGAATCTATGACTTTTTGCGCGACACTGTTAGAGCACATTCAACCGACTACTAAAATGGAAGAACGTGTACAGAACATATGGTGTAAAGTCTTACATATGGAGTCGATCTCAGTGAAATTATCTTGGTTTGCTCTTCACGGCACTTCGCTCCTGTTCATGAAGTTATATAATATGTATCAAATTGAATTCGGTATTGCTCCAGATATAGTCGACTGTTTTCGACATTCAACCATTAGTGAGCATGCCAAATTGTTGTCTAAAATTATTACTTCAACTGGTGCTGAACATTACCAAGCATGGTCTTGTTTAAATCTTGATAAAGGTACCTAAACTGAAAGACTAATTATATTTCAATAGAGGATTCTATCAATTTACTGTGTATTTTTCAGGGGAAGCCTCATTTGCTCAATCACGTATTTTTCTAGACGAGCAGATTCGCTTTCATTCTTCCAATGAAAAAATCATCTCCATATACAGTCTTCCTTTTCTGTATCGCTTGGCAGAAGGCTCTCTTTCAATTTCGTATCTTCAGCGAGCCCTTCGTCAAGTTACTCGAAAACATGCTGTTCTACGCACATCTGTTAGACTGGATCCGATCAACAGAAATTTAACACAATATATTCAACCAAACAATGCACAAGATTGTTTTGTCTTCTGTACGAGCATTATTGACGATGGCAACATGTTGGAAAATATTCTTACTGATGAAATGACAAATCAAACGTATTTCGATCTCCAAACAGGTCAACTTTTTCGATGTCATATTGTACGCCAACGTTCGACGATTATTCAGGATAATGATGATTTTCTTCATGAAGGTGATTGGATCATTTTTAATTTTCACCATATTGCATTCGATGGTGAATCGGAACAAATATTTCTCGACGATTTTCAAAAATTGTACTGTCAAACGGAAAATGTTCAAGCTGATGATCTACACACAGCACTACAATATATTGATTGTGAGTTAAATTCATTCAAAACGTTAACCTGATTTAACAATATATATATATATATATATACTACTTTTTAATCCTCATCAATCGTACAGTAATGATATACTTTTTTTTGTAGATTCGGTTCATGAGAGGCAGATCGACATGACTCTGGCAAAAATATATTGGCACCAAGCGCTACTTGGCTACAACATTAAAAAGCCGATGGCTTTGCCTGTCGATCGAAATATTTCGTCCAACGGCACGAGAAGTGGCCAAGGTTTTAGCATTGAACTTCAATTCAACAGTCACATTGTCGAGCAACTTGTTAAGTATGCTGTACGTTTCAATGTCACTCTTTATCAAGTTTGTCTGGCAATATACTATGCTTTTCTATTTCATTTGACTGGTGGTCAAAAAGATCTTATAGTTGGCATTGTGCATGCCAATCGCTATCGGCCAGAACTTCAACACATTATTGGCATGTTTGTCAACACTCTCCCAATGCGTCTTCGTGTCAATCCATATGATACATTCAATGAGCTACTTTGCAGAGTATCCAGTACGATGTTTGAAGCACAACCACATTCGAATTTACCCTATCAATATATCATTGAACAAGTTCCAATGTGGCAATTTCATAAAGGCAACTTGATTCAAACTATGTTCACTTTGGATGAAGTTGAAACCATACATGTTCGGCTTGATGCTGGAGTAATGATTGAATCCTGCTCCTTGTCGAGTCTAAAAAATACTTCTGTGCAGATTGGAATACCTAAAATTGCTGTAGCTATGTTTGATATGACATTGTCATTAGAGCACATAGTCGCGACAAATTCATTGCACGCTGAATTGATTAGTTCTAGTGATCTTTTTGATTCAATCACACTTGTCAACATGGCTAGACGATTTCAACTCATTGTCGAACAATTATTCTCTCCTATATCAATGACCATGATGATAACAGAACAATTACTTTGTGATTTATCATTGATTTTACCAGAGGAAATGACGGATGATAATCAATATATTCAATTTGCGACGATGAGTGAAACGAAGTCGATAGGTACGACATCAATTACTGATTTCGAATAATATATGTGCCATTAGCTTGTTTCTATTGTAGCTCGAGCCTCTTATGCTCAAAGCAGGATCTGGGTAAACGAACAGATCAATTCTGATACCGAAGCAGCCATTAGCAATAGAGCATATTTCTACAAGCTATCTGAAGGAAGTCTCTCTATTGAGCGGCTTCGACGTGCTCTTCGGCTTGTCGTTCTTAAACACAGTTCTCTTCGAACATTATTCTTATTTGACTCGAAAGTCGACTGTTTAATGCAGCGTATAATTCCGTATAATGACAATGGTGAAGAGCTATTTACCTTTGTTCATAGTACATTCAAAGATGACAAAAATCTGAAAAACATTATGCTCAACGAGCTGCATAATCCTTTGAATTTTGATCTGTTCAATGGTTGTGTGTTTCGTGTTCACATAATTGTACAAGATAGTAGCAATGACGATCTTCTCCAAATAGGAGACTACTTATTCTTTAACTTTCATCCAATTGCATTCGATATTCCATCCTTCGATATATTCTATCAGGTTCTATGCATGGCATATGAATGTGGAACAACATCACCCTGTAGTGGTCAACACCTTCGTTATATCGACTGTATGTTTTGAATATCCTATGCATCATTATTCGGTCTCCTTTCTATTCGTTTTACTTTATTTTGTTTAGATGCTGCCACTGAACAACTCATGCCAATGAAACAAGCTAGTACTTTCTGGCACGAAATCATGTTTGACTACGATTGGGACCGCCATCTTAACTTTCCAATAGATCACAAATACAAATCTCTTGAACAACCTACTGGGTTTGCCTATTCGACTACTGTCAAGTTACATGACGATCTTGCGACAACACTGAGTGATTATGCATCAGCAATGAAAATGTCTCTATTACCTCTATTGCTCGCATGCTACTATCTATTTTTATTCAAGTTTACCAATGGTGAAACAGATTTGTGCATTGGCGTACATGTCAGCAGTCGGGACAGATTCGAACTACAAAACATCATAGGAACATTCATCAACATGTAAGTTCCTGTTATTCAAATTCGTATTATTAGAACCTTATCCTATTCATTTCTATTACAGAGTTCCGCTTCGCTTTCAAATTAATCCAATCGCAAACTTTAAACATAATCTGTCTCAAATAACAAAACTGTTCCATCAAAGTGAGAAATACGCCTATTTCCCAATTCAACGAATACTCGACACATTCTCCTTATCCACTGCGACTTCTATTAAAGTCGCTTTCAATTTCGAAATAAACGATATGCAATCAATCCATATTGATACAGCACAATTAGCACACGTTTCACTACCAGAAGTGAATGACAGTTTTCATGACAACCAAAAAGTCATATCGAGATTTGATTTATCTCTCACGATTAAATACAATCAACGTTTCAATGAATTTAGCTGTACATTCAACGCCTCCTGTGATCTATTCGATTTGGCAACGGTACAAGCACTAGGTGAACGTTTTCAGATTCTTTGCCAGCAACTCTTCTGCTCATCGTTTGATCATAATAATCAACCAATCTATGAGTTATCTCTTCTTTTACCTTCGGAACGACATATCATGCAAATAATGAACAACTGTCACATGATACCCAATGAAACTGATTGTATTCATCAGATGTTCGCACAGAAAGCAACGATGCATCCAAGTAAGTTAGCTGTTACACTCGATGAACAGTGTCTCACTTACGGCCAACTGTTGACTCGAGTACAACAACTAGCATGGCATCTTATTAATGAGAAAGATGTTCATCCAGGTGATATTGTCTGTCAATGTGTTGATCGAAGTATTGAAATGGTTGTTGGCATCATGGGCATTGTGATGTCGGGTGCTGTATACGCTCCCATCAATCCCAACGATCCGTTCGATCGACTTGAGTTACTCGTTCGACAAACTCGTGCGAAAGTGGTGCTTACTAATTGTATGTCTCATGCACATGTAAGTCGACTCAATTTGTCGATTGCTAATATCTCTGAGATACTTACATCACACAATGTTCTTAGCGATGCTGAAATGACGAAATTATCTGAAGTAGCTGTAACACCCGAGTGTATCTCTCATATTGTATTCACGTCAGGATCGACAGGTATTCCGAAAGCAGTTCAAATTCGCCATCGCAATTTCATGGGTTACATGCAAGCACACGTTATGCGGGTGGACGACATCGTTCTTCAACTTGCCAGTTCTTCTTTCGATGTTCACTTGGACGAAATCCTTGGTGCTCTTGTTCGAGGTGCTCACTTAGTGTTACTCAAGATTGGAGGACATCTTGATTTCGATTATGTGACAAAGACCATTAATCAACATAAAGTTACTTTTGTTGCACCTGTCCCATCGTGGATCAATGCGTTAGGAAAATTTCTTAGTGAAAATCGTTTCGCTCACGACCGGATCAGACAAGTTCGTCTATGGTATCTCGGAGGTAAAGTATACTAAAGTCGTATGTGTATCATTAGATCCAAGGCCATATTTTTGTGACAGTGGTCTATGTCGAGGTTTCTCTAGAAACAGGAGCTAGCGTTAGACATAAAATATGATGATTTTATTGAAAAGTGATGATCATGACTGTTTTTTTTTCGAAGGTGAACAATTGCTGAGTTCAACCGTTCGACAATTTTTACCATTCGTCAACGAACAATGCCGTATTTTGAATTCTTATGGGCCTGCAGAAATTACAGAGGCGGCCACGTTTTACGAAGTTCGTCGAGATGAACTTTCCACGATTACATCACAACCTATTGGACGTCCAATGGTTGGCTATCGAATTTATCTTCTCGATGAGTATCGACAGCCAGTCATACCCGGTCAACAGGGTGAAATTGTTATTGGAGGTTAGTGATCAACCGTGTGAGTTTTTAGTAGTTTTGTGTAAGAATCGATTTAGGTGTTGGTGTGTTTGCTGGTTATTATGGAAGAGCAGATTTGACATCACAAGTGTTGATTGATATTGATGACGAACAGTGTTACATAACTGGAGACTTAGCTCGACTGGACGTTAGATCGGAGGAGCTTGTGTTTATGGGCCGACGAGATTTTCAAGTTAAATTACGAGGACAGCGCATCGAACTGGG